TTTTTCAGACAGTATTTTCATGACAAAAAAAAATTTGCCTCTTAAAAATTTTTCCCATTTTTGCTAATTTCTAGTCTAAAGAAAATTACATTTTATTTATGGTGCTTTACAATATATATGTATACACATATGTGTGCAGATGTATATATGCATTGAACTATGAAGACATTAAATACATTAAATACGTTCTGAAGTATCCTATAAAGGGGGTTTTTGTATGGGTAAAGGGTTTGGGACTATAAATTAGAAAATCAGGTTCTAGTTTCAAATCTTCCTTGAGCTCAGTTTGCTATATCTTTCAATATTTCTGTTCACCACTTGGTGCCCTTTATGTCAGTAAGTCATGCCTGCCTTCACTTAGTAAATAGAAGTATTGGGAAATTGCTAATTAAGACGAATTATCATCAAACTACTCCTTGACTAGAGTATGAGCAACTGAGTTATAAGAAGGTTCTTTCTCAAAGCAATTGCCAAACAACCCATGTTGGTGTTTTCTTTGCATCTATTGCTACCCCAAGCAACAGCATAGAAAAAGTCTAAGAACTTATATTACTAAATGAATGTAATACCTTCTCTTTAATAAGAGATCATACATGATGAAAGGGAAGGAAATTTATCAGTCCAATGTCAAATAGTTTTGTATTGTTTGTCACTGAAGAAAGAGTTACTCACCATGACAAAATGGATTTTTTGCTTATAAGAACTGACAGTGAAACCAAAAGCATTTTCGAATGGAATTATAACATCATCACAGTACCACGGATGTAAAATTATTTGATTGTTGGATTGCAAAGTAGGTCCCAAATGACCTCTGCTAATATGAAGTGTCAATTTTACAGCTGATGGCAGTATTAAAGATGCAGTATTCCTTTCTCTTGAACAATTTACACTTTACTAAAAGGTATACAAATAGATTTTGATCTGCAAAGTGGTAGTGTGTACTTAAGAAGTCAAAGTAATAATTTAAGAAAACTGACTTGCAGGCATTCAGGGGTTGGCCACAGGTGCATGAGACAAATGGGTTCTGCATTGCATGTGTGCTGTGTCAAACTGCTGATTGCACAGCTCTGGAAAGGACATTGCAGCATGACCACATTCATTCTTCTCATTTGTGAAACTCCTGTTTACCTAAAAAGCATGGCTAGTACTAAGATGCTGAAATATAAATGTTCTCAAGTGCTACTTTTGTTCCATGTGTTTAGCATTCAACAAAGTCTGATCTAGAAAATAACAAGAGTACAAAAAATAGTATTATCATCCCTACCTTTCATCAGCATAATTCTCCCTCCAGAGAATACCAGTGGCTCTAGTTGTACAAATAAGAATACCCTTGTGTCATGCTGTGGGTGAATTGTGCTCCTATGGCTCTATCTTGATAGCAAAGAAACCTGTTATTTTCACCACTAATTTAATTTAAATCAAAATTGTGTCCCAGATCTTGTCTATTGCTTATCTCTTTTCACAAATATTTTGCAGTTTGCAATTTAAAAACTATGAGTGTAATTTATTTTAGACTAAACGTGCAGATGTGCAAGCTTTTTACAATGCTGTCTTCTAATAGCAGAATTAATCTTGGCTTTGCCTTCATCATAGAATGGTTATCATAGAATGGTTTGAGTTGGAAGGGACTGAAAGATCATCTGCTTCCTGCCCACAAATGTTGATGTATAGCAAGATTCTTCAAAATGCACAGCTGCATCCTCGTTCTCCAGAGCACACAGAGTCGTCTCCATGGTGATTTATTTTGGTTATAGTTATACACAAGTAGAAATTAAGAAGAATAATTCTTAGTTTTTTGGTTTGTTATTTTTTTTCCTGATTCTTCTTTCTAGGACAGGTTAGCTGAAGTAAAAAAAAAAAAAAAAAAAAAAAAATGAAATAAGCAAATTTACTGAGTATTTTATTATTCATTCAAGCTTACTTTCACATGAAAGGCTACAACTACTCACGGCAATGCAGCTGCAGAAATTCAACCAGAAAGGCTTCATAGGGAGAATACAGAAATCTTATGTCATCATTTTAAAACTTTCTGCACTTTGAATGCCTGTTGATGATAGCAGTGTTGAGTAGTCTCCTCTCTTTATCCTGACCTCTCCAAAATTGCCTTCTGCTGCCTCATTTCCTATGAAGTGGAGGCAGGATGTTTAACATATCCACAAAATTTCTATTAAAAGTTTAGAAAATGACAGAATTAATTCAGTAATAAATAAATGGAAAGTTTCAAATTGCCTTGTATAGAGGTTAGTTTCCTATAAAGAACTAATTGACAGATTTTTATAAAACAAAGCTTGCTAGAGTCTCTCAGTATTCTGGTAAAATTACCAGTTCAAACAGTTTGTTCTAAGCAGATTAAGACACAAGGACAGATGAGGAGCAGGACCAGCAGTCCTTCCTCTTCACTTGGAAGTTGCTTTTCTGTAAGGTCTTTGAGCCCAGAACTATGTGAGTTTTAAAAAAAAATATTTATCTCTGCATTTGAAATGTGGACACATTGCTAATTCATTCTCTTCTTATATGTTAAATATTCTACACAGATCTTTCCTCTTTTGAGTTTTCTGCTAGTTGCCAACAGTTTGGCTTGTCACATGAGTGCTGCTCTCTAGAGTTTATATTCTATTCTTCAAAGTGAAATAATTATGTCAGTGACATAATCACAATTATCCTATACTGCACAGAGACCCATACTGCTAACAGCACATTCTTCCTAAAATGAACATTGCTTTGTGTTTACCAAAAACACAAGTCCACACTTAGGTTTGTCTTTCTGGTGATCATACATTTAAAAGCTTTAAGGCTTGATTCAATGTCTTCAGCATAGCACAGTTCCAAGTTTTGTGTGTGTGAAGTCCTACACTACAACGAAAACACATGCTAGATGCTGAATGCTTGACTACAAGATGATAATTAACTCTCTTCATGATACTCTACATGAAGCTCTGCAAGGAAGAGGAACAAAAGCCGTATCAGACTTCATAAGACTAGTTTTGAAGGAAACTACCTCATTGACAGGCACTTTTGCTTGATCACAGACAATAGTTCACAAAAAAAGACACTGCTAACTTTTTTAAAATACACGACTGTACGTCTTGACAGAGCAAGTCGTTCTCTGATTTGTCACAGTTTGAGCATGGTGGTGTTTCTTTCACTTTGCTGTTTGAGGGCAGTTCTGGGGGATATTAGGACAACTGCAAGCAGAAATGGAAACACAGAATGAACCAATCTCACAGCAGCTCCAAAGAGCAATTCAAGCTGAGTAAGCAAGAGAAAAAACTTATGTCCTTTCAAACCTAAAAGCTTATAGAGACTATCAAGATAAAATTGCTTTCTGTACATTAAAATCATTGTGTCTCTTTTAAGAATTCCATTAAAATCTTGAAAGGCTGTGAGTAAAAAAATAATTTCTCCAAGTTTGCAGTAGAGTGGCATCAGTTTCAAAGGGTTGGGTTTTTTTTTTCAGGAGTTGTTCTGGTGGAATATTTTACATTTATATAGCACCTCTCACCTGAAGGATCTCAAATCACTGTACAAAATCTGAAGTGTGTGAAGGAATTACCTCCTTTAACCATCAAAGTAAAGATGTGCAGCCATCTATAAAATGAAACAGCATAACCCACATGGCACAACTCAACACAGAGGGGGAACACAAATACAACAGGAACACGAAATCCAAGGGGAAGTTCCCATCTAGTAAACCTGAATTTGGACAGGTCATGGCTGGTATATCAATATTCTTACCAAAAGAGTCGTAAGACTTTCCGTGGTTCCATTTTCATTTCTGGGAAAATGTCTTTGCTCTAGAGCAACCAGTTCAGTATTGTCTCAAGTGAACTGTGAATTACTCAGCTGCTGCCATTTACAGCCCATGCTACCTTTAGGAAATAGTCCACCAGAAGGCAGGTAGCTTTAGTCCAAATTCTTTCAAAGTGGTAGTACGGAGCTTCCACAGAAGTGTCTCACCACATAGACTCATGTATTTCCAGAAGACTTTTAGCCAAAATTGCTGGCCTACAGTGCATTCTCTGGCTTCTTTCTGCCTGGAACTACCTACTTAGAATATTAAATCCACACCTGTCTTCCTTCTGTCTCAGAAAGATAATAGTTACTCATAGGTTGCATCACTGTTCTACAAATGCTGATCTGAAAGACCTTACCCTGTTTATACCATGAAATATGCATGGTATGATACTCTGCTTTAGAGTCACATGAATGCATTAGTGCTTTCTTTGCCCTTTTGTTGTGGGTAGGCCAATGGATGGCCACCTCTGGTTTGGAATGTTTTGCAATTCACTCTGGATGCTGCCAAGACAATAAAAAAGAAATTCTTATTCAAAATGTGGTAAAATCAGCAAAGGAAGCATGACTGAATTCAGCTAGGGACTCATTCCTGATTCCTCTAATGTCAGCAAAGTAGTTTTATATGAAAACAAAACAATTATTTGCTGTGTTTCGTCTAGTGAAATAAAAATACTTTGAAACTACCTGCACGAAAAGTATGTTAAAGGGATTTTCCTGCATTTGCCTTCACATACAATCAGTTGTTATTGGCAACGTACATCCTTCTGGGAAACTCTTGCACTTCTTGATGATAGGAGACATTTTTCAATTGTGTTGTATAAGGGCATTGGTCAAGTCATCTAAACAGAGCCATTAAACTTTCCCTTTTATTGCTGTACTTAAATAAGGACAAATATTGTCACTAATTTTCACAGCTTAAACCACACTAACAATTTTATCTTCATCAGAACCTATGTTATGTTGAAGAAACATTACCATCTTACCATCTGTTTCACTTTGCATAGAAATGGACAGGGAGGTCTTCAGCTAGCAGTAATATTATATGTATCACCTAGAAAGTGAAGAAGGAGGGGAGAAGAAAAAAATTGGAAGAAAAAGTAGAAATTGCACTTTAGTAATTCGAAACACAGCAGAGAAGTTGATGCTGCATCTTTAAATAACTTGAGAAATGTATTTCATCTTTAATTCCCCATTTTCCTATTCAGAACAAGTGCTGCCCAGGACTGGTTTTCGAGCGGATTCCTCTGGCAAGTATTCTTCAGCCTTTGTTGTTCTGTAAATTAGTTGTCCTTCATATTATGTTTTAGTTATCCTTCTTTCTTTATCATTTCTCCAGATAATGGCCAGTCATGACTGCCCAGTCACCATTTTATTTTGTATGATTCTTGTGGGGTTATAGAATGCTTACTCTAAACCTTTTTATAATAGATTTGCATTTTGAGAAAGGAAAATCATTTCTTTTTCCTCGGTCAATTTTTGTGTGTGTTTTACTGTGTTTTATGTGTACTTTCATACATTAGTGTTCAATCTTTAGCATAAAAATGCATCTCTATAACTCATACCCAATCTAAACTTAAGCAATACATTTTGTAAAACTCAGTTTAATTCTATCCCCTACATATGCCTTGGACTGTAAAAATGTAAAAGCAAAAACTTTCAAAATCAAGAGATTTTTGGGGTGTTTGAATCAACACTGGTCTGGTAAAATGGCAGTGGACTTGTTTAAAAACCAGCAACGTTTGATTTCTCAGTGTGATCATGTTAAGTGAACAGTTAAAACAGGCATCCCATAAAAAAAAAAAAAAGGTTATCTTGACAATCCCAATAAAGTCTTTTTAAGTCCTGCAGTTTGGACAGAGATCCTAAATGAAATATGATATTGGCCTGGTTTTGCATACCCCAGTAGGGTTTATACAATAAGTAACTGTGTTAGCACACCAATTTTTTCGGTTTTTTTCTTTGAAGATTTTCATACTGAAGTCTCTATTTGCCAGCTTTCCTCTCTATAGATGCCAGGAGGAAATATGCTTTTTTTTTTAAAGCTACTCTCATTGTAGACCAGCAGACCCATGACTGTTTTCAAGCTTTTCACATCTTCCAAGAGCATCTGAAACTCAGATGAAGTTATTGTAGTTTTGTGTCAATCACAATTCACAATTTCTAATTATTTATGTGAAAAAAAAATCTTCACCATCTTCAGCAAGGGAGTCCTAATTAGTTTTTCTTTTTAGCAGATGAGTTGAGTCTGCCCAGAAAGACTGTAAAATTATCACAGCAAAGCTCTTCATCTTTGCTTTAATTGCAATATGGAAGAGATTTAATAAAAAAAATTCTATATCAACATTTACAGCGTCATCCCAAATACCAGGTTTAACACTGTAAAATCACATAGCACTTGTTCATCTGGACTCACAAATCAATTTATCACCTTCAAGGACATATTTTCTCAACATTTAAGAAACAGTTGCATGAACGTTAATCAGTGTGTAATTCACCTACCTATTCAGGTGAATACAATACAGAAAGCTAGCTCAGAGTAGATAGTCACACCTTTGCCTGTGAGATCTCATTATTGTTCAGTAACAATCTGTTCTGGTACCATTACATTTAAAGTAAATTCCCTGTCGTCCAGGAACCAGAAAGCAGAATATCCCCATGCTCTTCACCATCCCCACAGTGCAGCAACGATCAGATCACAGCTTACCCAATGCCATTCTCAGAGTCATGGGGGAGCCAGCTGATTTTATAACCTAGCAAAGTGAATTGGTGTGGTTTTTTGTCTTCTAGGCTAAATGATCAGTTAAGAAAATTTTCTTTTTCACAAAAAGGAAGAAACTAAATTCTATAACTATATAAAAAAAGAATGAAGTTACCAGCAGGCAAGGCTAAAGTTCTTATTCTAACATAAATGTGTAGGGAAGCAAGCAGGAATGGGGAACCTTGTCATTCTGGCACAGAATATCCTTTTATATGATCAAAAATATTGACTTAAGGTGAAACTCTCCTTTTGATGAAACTGGTAGGAGACAGGACATTAAGATGTATTAAATTGACAGGAAGGATAAGCTGCTTGACTCCCATGTCTGCAACCTATTCATTTCTTCTTACTTGACACGAACCACAAGGTGCTAATCTAGGTTAGCAAGAGAAAACAAAAAGACACATTTAAGTTATATTAACCAAGAGTTTGTGATACATTGCAAGGCACAGGAGCATAATTTGCTGTAAGGAGAGGTAATTTTCTCTGTATGATCAACTGAAAATCTGCTCCAGCAAGAAAACCCAAAATTTGATCTATCTAACAATCCTTTGTGAGGAAAAAGAAAAGTACCAGAGTCCTGGAGAAGTAAACACTGGAGGAATATCAGATGAAATATAATCATTTACGTGGGTAATAACACTTGATCAGTGTGTGATACTTGTTCAATATTCAGGAATATTGAGCTGCTGCCACATTAATAGTAGGGGCTTCCAGTAAATCTACCGAGGATGAGCTCCTGCAGGAAAAGCACATACTAGTGAACAGATTACCTGTCTTTCAGAATCAGGAAAAGAGGCATCTCAGTAGCAGGGCTTTAGAACGTATTTTCTATCAGAGGTGAACTGCCGATATGGAGATAAACTGAGAACCATGTGAAAGGAGTTTAGCAAAAGTTGGTTGCTCAGATTAACCTGGTAACTGATTTTTTACACCAAACAAGTTTAATCCATTTATACTTCGACTAGAAATTTTACAAAATGCCAAATATAATTGAAACACTTTTACATTAGCCTGGAGAAGACAGTGCTTATCACAAAATGTAAAGACCAATGGCTAGAAAGCAGGTAAACAATTCTAGTAAAAGAACAGCTTCTGGTCTGAAAGACTAATATTTTTTGAGAGCCTTGCATTACATCTTCTGTCTTATTTTCATTAATCAATTAAGCAAAAAAACCAAGGTCCACTTTCAGAGATGTAAGCTGAGGAATCTATGGTTTAGCTGTCTCCAGACCAGTGGAGAGGTGGTCAGTGCAGCCAGTAGAGTCATACCATACCAAGCACGAAAGCTGAAATTATCAACAGCAACAGTGAGGAAGCAGTCTTGTGTACTAGTCAGTCACTGGAGATACTGTGATATTACTTAAAAAAATAAATAAAATTATGGGATACAATCCATCAGTGAAAACTCTGAGGCAGGTGACCTGGCAACAAAGACCGCAAACAAGTTCAGGTACCATTGCCTTCTTTGCCTGTGTCTTTACTAGTAAGGTCTGTGTGCTGTTTGCTTGCAGAGGTTTGCAACAACAGGAAGCTGGACTAGATGACCCAGGGATCCTTTCCAGTCCTGTGTTTTGTTTCCTTACTGGGACAGAAAAGAACGTTATTTTTCAAAAGCAGTTTTTAGTAGCCTGGTCAGACTTGGCAGAGAATGGTCTCCATGAATTTCCAGCTCTTTAGGATGGAAGGCTCTTCTGAGCAAGCGTGGTGGCACAGTCAGTTAATCCAAAGGCTTCTGAACTGTGTTAGAGGTCATAAAAAACTATGCCCATATACAGTATTTTTTAGCCTAAACCTTTTCCTGGTCAACCTGGCTTATCTATTCAGTTCTAAATGAGAAGAAAAACAGCTTCTTTTAAAAGAAATAGTACCTCTTATTTTGGATTTAGTGCCAAATTTAGTTTGGATGAGCTTTGTCAATGTATCTGTTTGAGGGATGTTTTCATCTCAGTTTGCCAAAGCAAGTATTCACAACCTGACGTTCTCGTACTTTCTTAATATATTCCCAACTGTGCATATTCATTCACATGTGTGCAAATAAAGGTTTGTGGTTTGTGAACAACAAAAGTTCTTGGTTTGTGACAGACAGCTGGAAATAGTGCCTTTGAGTGTTAGACCTGGGTTACAAATGGTGACATAACTGTGTCTATCTACAAAGCTCTCTCCTTGTGCTAAACTCCATCCTTTTAGGAACAGCAGTTCAGTAAAGTATTGCTTTAATCTGAAAATTCCTTTGCCTCTCACAACTTGTAAACAATTTGCATTAAGTTAATATACTGTACATGCACAAACTTCATTTTTTCTTTTACATACTGTTGAGACACTTATAAAATAAATTTTAAAAGTCAGTATAATAAGCTGTTCAGTTCTCTTTGAGTTCTTAATATATGAGAAGCAAGTTGGTAGGAAAAGGTAATACTTTTATTTTACCAATTGAAATATTTGTAGTTCAATCTCTTACCAGCATAGATTGTTGAAATAATGCACTACCCTGCTGTCTATAGAGGATTTTTAATTGCATTCATAGTATAGAATCAGTGCACGTATTCTATATTTGTCTTTGTAAGACTTAACTGAAACAGATTCAGCTTTAATCCCAAACTAATCCTGGGATCTGCTCAGTTCCACAGTTTATGAGGTGTCCACTGACGGCTCTGAGGGGAGATCCATGAGAGATGCTGAAGCACCATATTTCAGCCATCTGTAGTCTCTCCTGTCCCAAGGAAACAAGGCACAACTGGTGACACTATGAGCAGTTTGTTGAAATAAATCTACTCTTCCCTTTTTTTCTCTGAGTGTTGGCAACAAGCTGGTCAAAGCTGTCACATGTAGACCAGAATGCAATTCGTAGGAAAGACCATTCCTGTAAATCACCATCCTGCTTTAAGTGATGAACCTAAAACATCTCTGAGCATGCAGACAAAGCAATAATAACAATAAACAAGTTCTTAGTCCCTTGAATGCTTACAGTTTCACTTTGTAATATTTGAAATTTTATTCTATTATTATTATTTTTGACCCAGAACAATAGATTCTTTCAAGTGAATCTAAAGACCCTTTTATAAGAAAGTGTCTTTTAAAAGACACTTTGTTCCTGAATTGATATTTTCCAGGACAGAATATGTTTTTTACAGCCAGGTTACACAGGCATATGGAAGTACAATCTTAAGGATTCAGAAAGCTGTTTAGACTTTAATTGGGTAGCATTAAGGAGTTCAAGTTAATGATGTTAGCTTTCAGTTTAAACCCTAAGACTTAGAGGCTTATAATGAGAGCTTTCGTCAACACTCTTTGTTGAGAGTATTGCCAGAAAGTGAATACTTAAAAGCTAAATTACATAAAAAGACATAATGCTCTATATCTGTGTTTGGAAGTTAAATGACCTGTAATGATTTTCATCTTCTGTAACTTGGACTGATGTATCTCTATCTCCCATTTCAGTTTATTCTTTTTAGGGTTTAATGAACTGCAAGGAAAACACAAATTAAATACCAGAGGTGGATGAACAGCAGTCCATTATGCAGTCAGTTTTAGGAAGACACCTTTATAGCCTCTATTTTGGACAGACTTTTCCAGTACTGTTCTTCTATGAATGTATTCTAGCTTGGTTTAGTCTATTCTACTGAACATAATCATCCTCCAAGAGATAACCTGCATTTTCAGTTCTCCTCCTTGTCTGTGGCCCATTTGTTTCCACCAGCTCTAACCAGGATGCCATTAGTCATGTGCGATGAACACAAGGTGGGAGGGAAGATGGTGCAAATTCTCAAGACAAAGCCAAAATGCTTTGCTCAGTGGGATTTCCCTTTAAACCAGGTCCCGATTACAAGGAGCTGGATGTTCACCTTCGGAGAATGGAGTCTGGGTTTGGCTTCAGGATCCTGGGAGGAGATGAGCCTGGACAGCCTGTGAGTTATTTCTTCCTGATTTGCCTTTTCCTTCCACACTCTTAAACCTGTGTAAATGTCAGAGAAATACATAGCTGAACCCAAATGAACATTTTGTTAAGGCTATAAGTAAAATGGCTTTTACTCATCCATAGAAAAAGACAAAACTCTCAGGTTGTTCACATCTAAAAGATGTAACAGTCAATTAAGCTGGACTCAGAAGGCATTAAGGTAGAAATAGTGCATCACTCATCCCATTGCTGCAGAGTGTGATCTGGCATCTCTTAATCTTCACTTTCCAAAACCAAGTTTAAGCAGAAGATTTTAAAAATCAAATTATGTAAGACTGTCTATAACCACATCCAATGTAGGCAGACTGTATACATAATATATGCATAAAGTTAAAAGATACTGTCAACAATGCAGTTTATTTCCAGAAACACAGAAGGCCCCACCAGGGAACAGTGGTCCATGTTGCAGGTTAGATGTCAACATCACATGATGCATCAGGCATAAAAATAGTAGCTTTATACCATTCAGAGGCAGACATCCCTGTAACCAAATAACAGATAACAAAACCAACATAGATTCACTGCAGGTGAAATAAATATATTAAATGGAACATATACGCAGTATTTAAAAGAAATTTTGTAGAAGCCCAGAAGATACAGGGCTGATGTGTGAGACATCACAAATATGTACACATTTTTTATACACTATAATTTCAAGAGAACAGGCAGAATTAGTACTCCTTTGGAAAAAACTTCATGATGTAACCATATTTTGGTAGTGAGGACTAATCCCAAGACAATAATAATAGTGGTTTATTATCACAACCTTATGCACAGTCTCAGTCCTGTGCTACCACATTTCTGACATAAGGTATAACTAATTAATAGATTTATATATTCCCTAATCGATAGATTTGTGTATTCTGTATTCAAATTCACACAGAATAATATAGTTTTCATTCAAGCATTAACATTAACCAGCACATGGCTCTGAGAAACAAAGAAGCTCTTCTATTTTAAAATTTTCAACAAGTACTGATAAATATTAATAGTTGACTGATGTCTCCTGTAAAAAGAAAAAAACACACTGTGTTCTCAAAAAAGTGCTTCAAATGCTGATTGAAATGCAGAGGTTCTCATTTAGAATGAGTTTCAAATATAAATTATTGCTTAAGGACTCCAAAACAACACTGCTTCATCATCTACACTTGTGACAGATTTGTGCCTGAAGCCCCCCGACATCAAACTTCCTTCCATGGAGCACATCCCACTGCACATAAAATGAGGCACATTCTCCAATTAAGCATTTTTCCTGTGCTTTCTAGATGGCCCAACCAGTATGGGTTCTCAAAGCTCACCTTCTGGATGAAGCCAAAAAGGAAATCTGTTAGGAGATAGTGTTAATGTGTCATTTTATCATTATAGACTGTAAAGAAATGGCACTAGTGGAAGGCCCTGCCTCCAAGATCAGATGTCTGGGGCTTTGAGCAGCCCAGTGTAATGGAAGGTGCCCTGCCAATGGATTTCCCTCCCCTGTTGCAGGGAGGTTGGAAGTAGATGATTTTTAATCCAACCCAAACCATTCTATGATTCAAGAGCATTTGGAAATTTCCCTCTACCTGCTTCAGACAATAATGTCTAATGGCATTTTTTCTCTGCCAGGGAAGTGTCCCTGGCTACAAAGCTGCTCAATATTCTGAGGGAGTCTCTCTTAGTGTATTCTTTAGTGTTTTTTTCATTACAAATGGATAATTAAGTAGTCACAGACTGAGTGTCTGACTGTCTCTGCAGATTGGAGGTTTATAACTGTCTCATGGGGAAAAGTGCAGTTTAAATGCCTTATTTAAATGATGATTATTTATATGAAATTGAATCATTTCAACCTAAAGAACTGAGAAAAAAACTCTTTTAGAATACCCAATATTCTGATAGTTAAGAATACATGCCAGAGTTGTGAGAGACTTGAGTCTCTGCTCAGCAATCCAGTAGAAAAGGAATTTTGAAACAAGCCTTTTGCCCTGCAGCTACATGCATTATGCACTGAATTGTTACAGAGCAAAAAGGTCTTTCTAGTGCCTTTTCAGCAGAGGACTGACCTGACTTTTCTGTCCGAAGTCAAAGAGTCATAGCTGGATAGCAAATGCAGAGATAAGCAACTTGCTGTTTTTGGAAAGCAGGACCAAAAATGCTGCCTTCTGTGAACCACCCTCTAAGATGCTTCACTGTCCTGCTGAACAATTGCTCCCAACCTGTGCTTAGCCTCAAGGTTGCTATCTCTATTTCAGTGCTTGCAAATACAAAAGCATTTTACCCCAGATTTACCAATCCAATGAGATTTATGTCTCCCCACAAACCATGTCTCAAAGTCCTCAAGAATTAATAAGATCCTAACTTGAGGCCAAGGATCCTAAGGTAAAAAGGCACCTCCTCAGAACTAAGTGTTGCAGTGCTGAATTTCTCAATTCTCACTCCGTCGTTATTGCCCATATACTTGTTTTCACTGATCAAATATATCAGCAATAAAAACACAGATACACTCTTCTCTGTTTTTTAGTGTCCCTCTATTTTGTATTCAAAGTACAAGACTTCTTAACTGTTTTCTCCCCTCCACTGCTTCCCTGCTCCCCCATGGACAGCCCACCTGCAGCTTCCCATTTCTTTCACCTCCAGAAAAGGAGAGGCAGTCTCCAAACCCCTGCTTTTCCTATGAAACAAGAACTGAGACACTTTGAAATTTTTGTTTCAGGTCTCCTGCTGTGCAGTCAGGTAACACAGAACAAAAGGAAGCTTTTGTCTTTGTGGTTTGATTTCTAAAAAGGATATCGGTTCTTCAGCATAAGGCAATAACTTTTTCAAATATGCAGAATCCAAATAAAGTTTTTTTTTTAGAAAGATAATACTGACACTATAGAGGGACTGTAGCTTAGTTTCATTCTAGTTATATCAGCTACCTGGGTCCTTAGAAGAATAAAGTGCTGTTGAAATATTACGCTTTCTGTATTTGTAAATGTAAAGATGCTTTTGAAAGGAAATACTTGAATAGATAAATTTCTAATATCAAGATTGTGAGTTATGCCAGTTCCAATCACCTCTTAAATCTTCTAATATCATACCATCATAGGTATTTATCATATCTCCCAGTAACTTGAGGATTTAGAGATAGTCTGGCTCTGTTACAGTTAATTATAATATCACTGAAAGATTGCAAATATACATAAATTGGAACTTTTCTGAAGTTGAAATTTGCTGTCCCAAAAGGGAGATGTATTTTGGATACATTTGTGCAGCTCAAACTCAAAATAACAGGAACATACACATAATTTCACTAAGAGTTTTACCTTTTCAACACAGATGGACTGCAATTCTTCTCAAAAATGTCTGCAAGATGCATGTTTATATTCTTTTTATTATGAGTGCCAAGATACAGACACTTCTAAGACATAACAGATGTCCACTGAGCAAAATGTTGGGATAATGCATGGGAAGTCCTATTTTAGCAGTGATTGGGCAGAGTTCAGATAAGGAGCTTGGATTTGGACATCATAGGTACTTAAAATTAAGTGAATCACACCTTTTATGTATATACACTTAATTTTACTATGTACCTGTGAAGCTACTGTGTTATATTCAGAGAAACTGAAACTGAAACACAAAATCAAATTACCAAGAATCACAAAGAAAGCCAGTATCAAAACAGATTAATAATATGTATGAGTTAATCAACTTCAGATTATGCTCTGCTGCGATATTCCCAATCCCAGTATTTCTCATGTTGAATTTCAAGCAGTAGGAGAAACTTTCCTTTTTCTCTACAACAAACTCTTTATTGCTTACATGCCATCATCCTTTTCCTCACACATTCAAAGCAATCTCATGCCAGTATGAACTGCATTACAGAGATAATATAATCCTGATATATATTTTACCAATTTGTGTTTTGCATGTAGAATTGATAACTATTATGGTAACTACTCATCCATGAAATGAGAGCAGATGCTGGATAAGAAACAAGTTCAGACACAGAAAATGGAAAAGTAGAAATGTTAAGTTATTCTTGCTATTAAATATACCAAGTAACAGATATGGTGGCCATCATCTTGATAAACACATCTGAAGTGTTCAAAGTTGGACCCTGCTGCCTATGTTAGGAGTCCACCACTGAGATGAGTAACACAATCCCATTCCCAGGTGGACATGTGAAATGTCAGTAATAATTAATTAGTCAAAAATAGAAGGAGTTTTTGCACTTTGCTGTGCATACTGGTGACCTACCGTGCTGTGATTTGCATTTGCGTTTCTCCGAAGGTTAAATATGCATAAATTGTTCAGTATTTTGGCTGACAATCATAAAAAAACTTAAAGAGTTCAATAAATCCAAAGGAAGAAGATACGCCCTATAATCTTCCAGGCCTATATCTTCCTATATCTTCCAATCACCCATCTCTTCACAAAAGAACTAGGAAAAAATTCTTACTCATATGCCGAACTGGAAAGGTTTTGAGAATACTCTGTGTACATCTAGCTAAACGTAGCCTTGGAGAGCTTTTTTGCTGTCCAGTAAAGGAGCATAAATACATATTTCATAGCTGGATTTTGCACAAAGTATTTGCCAGAGCTTTGAGTTATATTCTTTCACTATTTGAAGAACAGAATGGAGAATCTGAAACAGTCTCTGTGGCCACTCAGCCTGGCGCTGCTTAACAGGATCCCAGGAACACTAGAAATCAGGAAAACAACGCATCATGTTCTCTCTTTGCTAAGTTTTGAAAGCAAAAGTAAGCCAAAGGGAGGCTAAAAACTGGGGAAAATTCTCCAGGTTCCACACAGGGTTTCATTTAAACACTCTGCTGGGATACTCTGCAGCTAAGACCACAAAAAACCCCACAGGAGCACCTGTGTGACTACCATATCTAGCCTTTGCAGTTCACCATGAAAAGCAGTGCTTGATAGCTTTTATCTTTTCTTATTTAAAGTGGATTGTCACATGGCATGTCATATTCATCATTCTGTGCTCACTCTCACAGTGAAAAAGAGAAAGGAAAACGTGGAACACTCTCTGAATGCTTTAATATTCTTTCAAAGAAAGCAGGTTTTGTTTGAATCAAGCTCAGCTATTCTACCAGTTATTCCACAGGGAAAATATATTTGTCTTCTTCTAATAAATTATGTGAAACTATATGTATATAAAGTGGAGAAAAATGTTAAAAGTTTTTGGATAGATTTTTACTAGTTTATATGTCCCATACAAATTACATTTAAATCTTGATTTGGGAAAGCAACATCTGCCCAGAGCAAGCTGACATTTTTCCTCTTTTTTCCATTTTGTTAATCAGTCACTACCTAAGGAATTATTCATTATGAGTAAAAACATTTTAATATAGCACTTCTTTTCTCCTGAAGAGTCTGAAAACAAACTCTGTGTAATGGGGTCACTTCCACTAATCATCTCAGGTGTATAATTCCAGGTGTTTAAATCACACAGCAGTGAAGAACCTTTGATAAGAAATATACAGACTCACTAATTTTAAGTCAAAAGGATCCTTACATGGAATTAATGTTTAGATCTTCTGCTTAATGTAGTCTTATAACTCCATGCTCCTCAGTGACAGATTGTCTTGATTTTGAAGGTATCAAGTGGATTTTCCTTAGATTAGGATTCTCAGGTGTGTCACTCCTATGCAGGTAGGAAACATCTTACCTTCTTACCAAAGGCCAGGAAGCACAGCTCTCAGACACACAGATCTCTTCACCTGTGCTAAATCTCTAGCCTAATTTTGGAAGGAAGGGAAAAAAATTCATGTAAGTTGGAGGCTCAGTGTATAATTTTGTTTCTTTGCTGCCTAGATTCTCATCGGAGCAGTAATTGCCATGGGCTCAGCAGACCGAGATGGTCGTCTCCATCCTGGTGATGAGCTGGTGTATGTAGATGGGATTCCAGTGGCCGGCAAAACCCACCGATATGTGATTGATCTTATGCATAACGCTGCCCGAAATGGGCAAGTGAATCTTACTGTGAGGAGAAAGGTGCTACCCACGGGTGAGTGAAGGCTGGGAAAGGTGAAATGAAATGAAAAACCGATCCCAGTGCTAGCAGCACAAACAGGTGCTGTTCTTGAAAAATAGAGGAAATAAAAGTGAATGTTTGTGTCATTTTGAGGAAAGAATAATAGTAAATGTGTCCCTTGTTCCTGTGACAAAAATACCACAGCTGAGTGTTGTTTCCTTCAGAAGTGGAAACAATATTGACAACCCTGGTGTGGTGATCATGAGTGCTCTGGATTTGTTCCATGCTGTCTTGGTCTGTACTGTCTCCTCTTGTGCACTTTTGGGACTAATTGTTCACCCAGGTTAAAGCCGTTTGATCTGACTGTGTCAATAGGCAGCCAGAGAAAGGCTCAAAGACTGTTAACTGTTCAGGGCAGGAACTCATTTCACTCTTGTGTGTATTGAAAGCCCATTTCTGGTCTCACTTATGTCATCTGAAATTTCCCCCCGAACTGCAACACAAGCTGGCTGAAAACCTTCTGTAGGGTAGAAGTGGCTCCTAGGAACAGGGCCAGATTCTCCCATCGAGGAGAGACATTCAGAAAATGAACCTAAAACAATATTAGATGTTTAGACTAGCTTGGTCTCAAACATCAGAACCTGGAGGAGTGTGTGGCAGCATCTATTAAAGCTGTAATGGTAGAATTTAATGCAGTTCCATTGCAACCTTCACTTACTCGAGGAGAGAAGTTTATTTAAGAACTTTTAAAACATTTGTGGTGAGTACACTTCACTGAGGCACCAGAAATGAGCAAACCCACGTTCCCAGCCTGTCCTGTCTTCTGCCTCCCCGCGCCCTAGATCCGCTGTCGCTGCGTGCACCATTCCCCTTCGCTCCCCTGCCAAAAAACCGCCCTCCCACTCACCTTCGTGTTCTCAGTCCCCCTCCCACTGCGGCACCACAGCTCCCTGCCAGCCACACTCTCGCGGGACTGACTTTCTTCTGTTACTGACTCCAGAGTCCTCCAGCCAGAAAGCTCCCCCTGCGCCCGGCGCGACGCCCCCTCGCAGCTCCCCCAGCGCGAGGAAAATGGCCAATAACCAAGGTAATCCGCCGAGTCCTTCCCTTTAGCGCCTTTCCCGGGTCAACCGGCTGTACAGAACGCAGGCAAAATTAGCAAGAGGGTTAGCAAGGAGTGGGTGCCAGCCTTTGCTGCTGCTTGTTAAATATTAAAGGGTCTACTAGCCAGCCTGGGCTCCTGGCATAGAGGACGAGGCAAGCTGGTAATACACGTGAAGTTGTTCTTGGGCCTTGAGAGGGCCACACCAGGGAATATAGTGTGTAACTCATTAAGATTTAAGCATTGCAGGAGCTGAACAAGATTTTAATGTGGTGTGTTACAACATAAGCTTTGTGGAAAAATTTTAAAATGACTGATGTTGGGCGTGACTGCAAAACTCTGTACTAATACATCAAGCCAATTAATTTCACAGGAATTTCTCACTAGCATGAATGTATACAACCGAGGGACCTGGTGTTTTCCTTACCTGTCTGTAGCTGATATGTTAGCCTTCACCTGGAGTCACCATTTTCCACATACACTTACCCAAATCTGGAACAGAAGATCACAATTCACAAGCTCTGGAAAGCAATTTGATTAGGAAAATGTGGTATTCAGAACAATGTGGATTAAAATTACATTTTTTCACAGCCAGAAGCAAAATGCAGTTTTTCTGATGAATGTCTATTTCACAGCTGATGGTCAAATAGCCATTTAAACTTTTCCTCCTTTATCTTTCTTTTCCTATATTTAATGGCATTCAGTTGCATTCCTTTATGGCCAAGCCAGACTTTGGTCATTCTACAGAGTAGGATAATTTTTTTCTGTTGCAGCCATACTGACATAAACAATATTCAGCTTTCTGAAATGTGGCAGCCAGAAAATGAGATCTCTCTTGTCACTGACTATGGCATTTAGTTGCAGATTTGGTTCAATAACTCTTGGAGATTTTCAGTTCTAAAGCAGGAGTATAATAATTGTTTGTTTTTCTTCCTCTTTATACTCTCTAATTACTTTATTTTATAGTTGCAGAAGAACCGCTAAAGGACACACCTGACTGAAAAAACAACAGCTTGTCCTTGGATGATGTTTATTTTATTAATATATACATACTGAAGGTCTAATTTGTAAACTCTCTACCTAGGATATGTGTGTGTATGCGTGAGCTCCTCACATGTTCAGTAAAATGACTCTGCCACTCTCGTTGCTCAGAACAGAAAACATATTACTTACATTTATCTGAAAGTTCTGTATTAAAACTGTCAATAAATTCTGATTTGTGTAAACAACGTAGATCTGCAAGGAATAGAAATCTTTTTTCCCATCTGGAGAAGCCACTTTACTGTTTTCAGTCGTCAAAATGCTTGCACTAAAAATGTGTAATCCCACAAGTTTTAACTTGTTCCCTGGTTTTATTACTGTAAAGCAATACTGAGGTGTGGATGGACTCCATTTTCACTTCTGCCCTTCTGAACTTGCCAGACAAGAGCATCTTCAAACTCTTTAGATGACCACTGCTTTTGCCATGACACCCACAGAAAAACTGCTTGTGATCATTTCTCATTGTATAACCACTCTGTTCCATGAACATCTTTTGAGCATGCTAATCAGCTTGTAAGAAGAACATAATGCAGCTAATCCTAATTATGTTAGCTCCCTGCTTAAATTCCTGTAATCCAAACACAAATAATTTTATATTGGATTAGAGAGTCACATTTTCCTCTTGATGAAAAATCAAGCAGCAGATAAGGGAATAGTGCTTGCTAATGTTTTTGCAGAAACTGTTTCTCACTTTACTTTCCCCTCTTCTGGCTAACTTAGCAGTGATGGTTCATGCTTGCTTTATCTGATTACCCTTGAAAGTTCTGCATAATTGTGTGGATTCCTGTCTCTCTGCATCTATTACAGCTCCTAGTTTAATGCTTGCAGTAGCCTGGGCTGTAGACAGTCGACTGTATTCATGTTGCATTAGCAAATGCACTGTAAGTCACAGAGCCACTGAGCAAGTCAGCCTGTGACACTGGCGTGATTTATGTTGTAGGAGAACCGTGCCCAGAGAATGGCAGAAGCCCAGGCTCGGTGTCTACGCACCACAGTTCTCCAAGAAGTGATTACACCACTTACGCGAACAGTAATCACGCTGCCTCCAGCAGCAACGCTACTCCCCCCGAGGGCTTCGCGTCTCACAGCCTGCAAACCAGTGACGTGGTGATCCACCGCAAGGAGAATGAGGGCTTTGGCTTTGTTATCATCAGTTCCCTGAACAGGCCCGAATCTGGGTCCACAATAAGTAAGTAAATCATGTTGTTCAGTTTATACTTTTCCAAGTTTGCCCCAAATAAAAAGAAATAAATTAATTTAAACCTAACTGCTAATAATTTGTCGCTGCAGAGATTGAAAGGGAAGGTACTCACAGTGTTGCTTCAGGGGCATTATTTTTCTGTTGTATTTCGGACAAAACCAAAGGTTATTCTGGCCTCTCAGGCACTGTGCTTCACACACTCCTTTGGCATCAGAGTAATACAGGATTCACCCACGAAGTAGATTTTGTCTATTATTATGTCCTAAAGAGTCTCTGCAGGTAACCAGTAGGGTTATATTGATAAATTATTCCCCCATGTGCAAGTGAATTTTTGGGGTCAAGATGAAGTTCAGGAAGTTGTAAAAAATATTAAATGACAGCAAACCCTATGACAGCAGCTGTCCAGTTAGGGGACTGCAGAAGTAACTGGAAAATGGGAAAACTGGTTAGATGCAGGTGCAGAGAGGCTGATTTTTTAACTAGCTGGAGTATAGAGAGCATAAAAATTACAACTGAGTACAGGGAGATGATGTATCTCTCTCTACTCAGTAGTAGCTAGATTGCAAGATCTGCCCTTAATAATTATAGCTTGCTTTCTGTTCAGAAAAATAATGTTTGCTATGGGCCAATTTTATTGGTTTAATATAGGGACCTGGTGCCATTTGAGATGTCCTGGGTAGATCTAGGGAGAGACCAGGCAGATGTAATATAGGACCTACAGACGACTCAAACCCTTTGGTAGTGGCAGCTGCAGGCACAGGGGGGCCTTTGGGTCTTTCCACTGACGTTTAACCAACTGAGAGCTGAGCTCACTGGAAGAAAGAAGCAAAAAAAGCTTCATATTGAGAGGGGTCTACATCCCTCACCAAATCCACCTGAAACTATGAACGCTAACCACAGATGAAAAACCTAGAGAAGTGAGAACATTTATAATTTTGCAAGTTGCAGCCTAATGCGGTCCTTTCCCTGCATTCAAAACATGTTTTGAAGGAACTGTTCTTTAGCCCAAAGGTGGTACCTGACAAAATCACAGTTTCAACTGTTAGGGCCAAACTTCGCTCTTCTAAATTCATAACTGAAAACCAGCCAAGAGAGTATGGGGAAAACCCTATCTCACAATAGCAAATTATCTCAGAAAACTTCTTTGCAATATTTCATGATCATGCAGTTATTAAAAGAGTTGCTTTTCATGTTACCTCAGCTGAATTTTAAAACTCCATGATTGCCAGAATTAATATTGTAACAAAACCATAGATAATTAGCCTCTTGGGACTCTGAGTTTTCACTTTATTGAATATAATGGCCAACTGGAAGTTTTCTGCAGAAGATCAGAAAGGAAAAAAAAATCCATAGAGGACATTGAGATACATACATATTAATCAGTTAAATCAGTCAAGAATTTTTCAAGAAAATTATTTCATAGATAGAGTTTGTGGTTGGGGAGAAGGAGAAGGAATGAGGAGAGGAAGAGAAAGAGAAAATTCTCAAGCAGTCAAAAATTCTATGACTGGAATATTCTCCTGAAGACTACAGATCCAGGTTCAAGATCCAGATTTGCCTCTTACCCTCTAACATGTTCTTGCAGTACTTTTCTTTCTACACAAGCAACTTCATAGTCATTGTTGATGCTCAGTTGGACATCTCCAGTAGTAAAAGGAAAATTACAGCTGCTATGGAAGTGACAAGTGAATTTATTCAAATAATAACTGCATTGAATTTCAGTGATCTCAAAGGGCACCAAATCCTAAGTTTACAAGAACAGCAATGAACAAAAAAATTACATTTGCTGTAGACAGTGACAGAACAGAGAAGAAAATAGCCTTTCTATGTGAACTCTGTTACAAAACTGTAGTAGAAAAAATATGCTGAAAATTACATGATCTTTCATCAGTCATAAAAACAGTCTAAAAATCATTGACTCTTTGTAAAGTAAGAGAGGTTCTTTTCTTTACTTAATTTGGGTGAAGTAATTTTGGCTTTATTAAGAGGAGCATAGCCATTATTCCAGTGTTCCTAGTTTTGGAGCCAGTGCACTTGTTGCCAGCTCCTGTGTCCGCCTATGGCACAGAATGATGCTGTGTAGGCATGTGGAGTTAAATGTTAATGTTGCAATTGCAAAGCAATTCTGAAAGAATCAAAAGGGGCAAAATAGGTCAGAAGAGGAAGTATCTTGTAATGCCAGACACTATTAGGAATAGCATAGCCTAAAAAGTCATCTCACTGGGAGCATCCTCAGGGCAAAGTGAAGAAGAGTTCCTTTGATTTAAGAATGTTTATTTTAATAACTTTATTCCCCTCTCTACTTTCTTGTAAAAGCAAAAGACTTGAGGTCTTGGAAGTATAAGTATCATCATCACTTTTACTCAAGAAGGGACTTAATCATGCACTGGAAGTATTTTCCTTGTTCTTGAATCACACTTACAAACTATGTTTTACAATCCAGTAAATTCCAACAGCTCTTGCTGAGTACAGGAGCGTGCACTTTTTGTCATTGGGTGCTTGTGCTTCAAGGACTGTTAAAATTGAAGTAGTCATTACAACAGAGTTTCTACTAGCTGCAGAGCTGCAGGTTCATTGGTTTGCTGCTTTGCAGTTGACCTAAAGCGCAAGGCTTTACACAAAAGCTCACACTCCATTTACTACGAAAGGCTAGAAGCTCCCAGAATTAAAAGATGTCACTCTTGTTCCAGGAGGCTTAGAGTCTTGGTCAACTTTTTTCTCGACATGCTGTTATGATCCAGTTCATTAAATTATTAAAGAGAGATGCCTCTGCCCAAATTAAGTTGCAAATGAAACCATATGCCCATGTCAACAGTACGGATATTTTTATTTAACAGTTAATGTGAGGTAGAGAGAGATAGAAAGAAATAGGAAAAAAGAGAGAGGGGGGAGAGAAAGAGAGTGACAGACAGGTAAGTAGATAAAAATCACCACTCCATGGATTCCAGTGGCATCCCATTGATCCTCTTCTTGTGGTCTTCTTGGCGATGAGAGTCCCAATCTTGTTGAAGTGATGGTTGCAGTCTGGATCCATTGAGGGAAGCCCTGGGTGGTGAGAGAAGAAGCCTGGGTGGTGAGAGAAGAAGCTCCAGAGTGTCTTGAGAGAAGAAGCCTGTGGTGGTAAAGTAAGTCCCATGTGATGTGGGAAGAAACCTGGGTGGTGAGCAAAGAAGTCCATGGTGCTAAGGGAAGTCCAAGGGATTTTTATTATACTAGATAGAAATACCCTCGGTACCTCCCCTGGAGTGGGGAGTTTTACAATGAGTGATATAATACACCTTTTAAGACAGCTTCCTGTTCCATCAGCATAGTTGAGTCCATCATGGCCCATCAGCAGAGATTAATATCTTCAGGCTTTGTGTTCATTGTTCTGGTAGTTCACTGGAGGAGAGGTATCCCAGCGGAGTCATTTGTTTAAGGATAGAGAAACACTATCCTGCCTCGAAGGATTTGCCTCTTTCCTTACTTTACACATCATCAGCTTGCACCTTGATTGTCTGAGCCATTAGCATTCCAGTTTCTAACATTTGTGGATACATTCTTCACCTGGGATAATTGGACAATAGTACCACCTTTATCTTATCTCAAGTTCCTGTCACAGCCCAAATTAGTAGGCATATTCAGGAAGGGGTGGGCTTCTGTAAGCAGTTACTTCTTTGCACAATTTGCTACAGTGGACAAAAGTACTTCAGTGATTTTAAGAATATTTAAGCCAGTAACTATTTCAGTCTCCCACACATGCTTTGCAAGGGGTTTGTTGTTACAGTTGATTTACAGACCTGCCTTTGCCTTGCAGAAATTTTCAAAATGCTAGATGCAATTTTTTTTTGCTATTGATACACAGAGTGAGGACAGACTACAGCCATAATTAGAGAACAGACTATTTTTCCACATTTTGTGATAGGCAGAGCTGTAGTAGCTACCATTTTAATAAACAAATCTTAAGTAGTTCGGAGCCAGCCATTAGATCTGGATGTCATTTTTACTAACTGTGTACTTGCTTAAGCATCCAATTCTTGTGGCGCATTTATTTTCCTGTGTCAATAATGGTAGAAATTTTGTTTCCCCTTTGTCAAAGCTTTGCTTGGGATGTTCTCTAATCCAGTGCAGGAGATTATCATGCACTGAACTGCAGTTCTGATGTGGGGCAGATCAGGAATGGAAAATAAATGACATGGAATGAATGAGGAGATTTCACAGGGCAAAGCAGGGGCATAGAAAAGGTCAGCCATGCTTCAAATTTTTATCAGTAAAAGAAGATAAAGTGGATAAATAAAGAACTGTCCTTGAGTGGTATATCCAGGAGCAAGTCATTTTGCCTACTGCAGAGGATCTTCGAGTGCTAAGCGATTAAGAAAAGAAAATACACCTGTCCAGGCTCCTGACCTATTTCTAGTGAAAGGATTGACTTCCACTGCCTCTAAAATATATTATTGTGCCTTTTCCCACATTGCCTTCCAGCATTAAAGCGTGCTGTGGCTCTCATCCCTTTTCCAGATAGGACAAATTACAGCTAAAATACTTAAAATTTAATTAATTAATCTGCACTTTGTATTACATTTAGGGAAATATTTTTAGAGTATCAAGATAAATTCACTATCTGCATCCCATGGAAAAGCACTTGCATCCTGCTGGAAATGGCCAAAGTGAGATTTCACGATGAATTTGTCCCAGAGTTTTATGGAGTACATTTGTCCATGCCTAATTCATATCTTCCTGCCACTTTTAATGTATGTGGTTGGGATGCAACTTCATCTAGGAAAAGAACTTGTGATTCTCTGTAAATCTTTTAACATCCTAGTCTCCATAGAAAGAAACCATGTGTTGTAAACAGATCTAGTTAACTTGCAACTTCCAGTGAAATTGGAAAATTGGCAGTATTTCCAGGATTTTACTGTAGCAGGTACTGTCAATTAGCAGAGTTAGAAAGTGTAACTGAACTGAAAATACAGGCATAATCAATAAACAATTTTAAAAAAATTAAAGGC